TAACAATGTACAGTTTGGTGAGGACTTTGGTGTTAGGAATGGGTGTGCAACAGTGGACATGTTCTGCCTGTCATAACTACGTCGGACGAACCCGATGTGCTCGTCAGGCAATATCGGCAAATTATGGTTTTCAGCTCATGTCGATAGTTCAGCTGAACAGACGTAAGATTAGAATATCTAATTTTCTCTTTCTTTGCAGAGTGGATAAAATGTACGCTGTTTTTTTATACTGTTTCTTTTCTGCTTTCTTCCTTCCTCCAATCCACTCGGTCAAATTCTTATGGCTTCAAATGACCATCCGTCAAAAAGTTCTCATATTCCTCATTTAGTCTGTTACAATTGCTCCATTTTTCCTTGATGTCGTTCTGTTTACTTCTCCTATTCTTTCTATCTTTAGTTTAGATTTATTTAGATTTATAATTTTAATATGCATGTAGTTTCCTCCGCCATCTTTCACAATTATGTCACTCTTTTCACTATGAATATCAGAAACACAATAAAATAGATTGTTTGAGGAAATTTGCATCATTAATGCACAGAGTGTAGCTTTTTTTTTCTTTGACGAGTATAGTTAGTTCAATTCGGTATTGATTTAACACCCGTAAAAACTGTAAGGAGGGGGGGGGGGCATTCTAATTAAACATTTACCTCTGGTTGGATCAAACCAGTAAGATTAAGTATATCTTTGAGTACCGAAGCAGATCTCACGTTGACGAGTAACATTAGTTCAGTGACTGGTATATGCATAGATGTGAATGATTTTTTAAAATATATTGAAGCTCAATATAATGATTCCAAAGACAATAAATGTCTTTCCACCCTGTATGGTTATAATCCTTTTACCCACCCGTCAATATGGTTTAGATGGTTTATCTGGGCGGGATGTTTCAATCCTACATGTATGGACCAACTCAAGCGGTCTGGAATATATTCCAACAGAAAGGCAGAGATGTTCGTCAAAAGTCTACTACACGAAAGAAATTACGTCGCGCCTTTTGTTTGTATGGCAATGAGCCTGCCAAGTACACCAGAGACTGTTCTTACTAATACATAGTACATGTATCTGTAAACAGGTACTCTAAGATATCGAATAAGCGTACCCCCCCCCCCC